TAGTGATGGTACTTAAGTTGCCCTTCATCTTCCAAAAAAAAAAAAAGAAAGGTATATAGTAGCTTTTATTTAAATAACTTTCTTCCTCATTAATTAACATCATAACTACTTGTCCTTTTGAACTCCAAAAAAAAAAAACTTGCAGGCTCGGTGCCTGTGGCTCAAGTGGCTAAGGCGCCAGCCACATATACCTAAGGTGGAGGGTTTGAATCCAGCCTGGGCCCGCCAAACAACAATGATGGCTGTAACCAAAAAATAGCCAGGCGTTGTGGCAGGTGCCTGTGGTCCCAGCTACTTGGGAGGCAGAGGCAGGAGACTCGCTTGAGCCCAGGAGTTGGAGGCTGCTGGGAGCTGTGATGCCATGGCACTCTACCCAGGGCGACAGCTTGAGGCTCTGTCCAAAAAAAAAAAACTTGCACAAGATAAATCAACCCTCATTCATTGGTCTCAGTTTTCTAAACAGAAATTCCTTTTAATTGTTTCATCTTTTTCTCTAATATCCAAGAGATCAAACTAGAAGGTTTTGTTGTATTCTTACCTTTAGAAGCTACAGGAACAAAGGGCGAGGAGGGAGAAAGCATCAGATATTGGGAAGAAATGGAGAAAAACAAGAAATCACATTCGGTTCTTTGTTATTGTCAACAGTCACTCAGCCACCCAACCTGTTAAAGACTCTACCCAACCCTTATTAATGAAGTACTCAAGTCTGGAGATGGCACCTTAAAGCAGTGCCAGAATCTGTCCACGAGTATCGTTGAAATGATGATAAGGCGAGCTTCCGTCATGTCACCTTTCTCATATCCCCACAAGTTATACTGACCAAAAAATACTGACATAGAACAGTTCTCTCCCAAATCTAATAATTCCCTAACACAAAAACATTCTCCACCTAACATTCTCTTTCTACACTCACCTAAGGAAGAGAAGGGAATGGGAAACCTACTTACGATATCCAACCCTTTTTTTTCTGCCACACATTGGAAGAGTAAGAGTTGTCTTGGGGCACACGTTAAATACACAAATAGTAACTAAAGTTAAAAAGAAGGTTTGTGCATATTTTCATGGTATCTGACGCCACAGATAAGCAAAAAAAGTCCTCCCCAAAACTGTGTGTGGCCCAGAGGTTAGACACCGCCACCCCCAACCCCCATTGCCCTACACAGGACCTTTACGTTAAATAAGAAAATTACTCACTCTTGGTCTGGGCAGAGAAGGTATGGGTAAGTTTGGCGAAAAGTTCATTGTTCTCAAAACGGTCCTCCTTCACCTTTGTCCAGAAGCAGTCCTGGGAGAGGTCCTCAGCCACAAACTGTGAATAAAGGCAGGTGTTAAGAATTACTATAGGCTCGGCACCTGTAGCCCAAGTGGCTAAGGCGCCAGCCACATACACCAGAGCTGGCAGGTTCAAATCCAGCCCGGACCTGCCAAATAACAATGACAACAACAACCAAAAAACAGCCAGGCATTGTGGCGGGCACCTGCAGTCCCAGCTACTTGGGAGGCTGAGACAAAGTGAATCGCTTAAGTCCAAGAGTTTGAGGTTGCTGTGAGCTGTGACGCCATAGCACTCTACCCAGGGTGACAGCTTGAGGCTTTGTCTCCAAAAAGAAGAATTACTATACTAAGCTGAGCTCTGTACTTTTCATCCTAGAAAACAGATAAAGATACAGAAAGGATGGCTGGCTGGTTATCAGCAATGTCTTACTGGAATAAGACTAATCTGAGACACAGAGAACAGCTGTGGTGGAATTAGGTGATGAGGCTTCCAGTTTATTTATTTATTGTTGATTATTTAAGAACTAGATTCAATTATACTACCTATCCTTCTTTTTTGTTTTGTTTGGTTTTTTAAGACTTTTATTTATCTACTTTTTGTTGTTGTTGCTGCAGTTTGGCCAGGGCCAGGTTTGAACCCACCACCCTCAGTGAGGGCCGGCACCCTACTCACTGAGCCACAGGCACCACCATTTGTAGTTTTTTTTAAAGTCTTTTATTACTTATTCTTCTTCTAACTCCAAAACCTTTAGCTTCAGAAACATTAAGGCTTTATTTCACATTTTCTCTTACTCTGCATTCAATTTTTCCTATCAGTTTAGGCAACTGTGCCAAATTACATCATTTTATGAACATATATACGTGTCTATCTCGGAAAATAAGGCCATACTGCTCAGGACAGCTGTTTGCATTCAGGGCAAAATGGGCTTTTCTCTAATAAAACTGCCGCTTTCTGAGCAATGAACAAACTCTTAGGTTTCTTTATTTTGACTTGGAACCTTTTATTTCTGGAACCAAAAGGCTAACTCAGAATCACAGGTGTCTTAAACACATCATGGCAACAGTACTATGACATGAAAATATGGCCTGTGTAACTCACATCCTGGGGAATGGGCGTAGGAGAGGTGTTCATAAATCTATGACTTAAGGATCAGAATAATTGGCTCGGTGCCTATAGCTCAACCGGCTAAGGCGCCAGCCACGTACACCTAAGGTGGCGGGTTCGAATCCCCAGCCCGGACCCG